CCCTGACCACAACACGACTGGAAATACGCGGAGCTAAAGAGCAGTGACGAATGTGGAAATCAAACTCAACTAAAACCAGAGCAGAACGCAAGTTCACAACCTCAGAATGACCTGAGGCACCTGTTAGTCAAAGAGGCCACACCCCTAATAGTCAGTCCTACATGCTACACCTGTAGAGGTGTTATGGGGGTAAATTATCTACAGAAACCAGAAATGTTTGTGTATCAGGCTGTGAATATGTTGACTCACCGCTGCCTCTGCTGGACATTAGAAAAACTGCAGGTTTAAGGCTTTCTTTTTCAGCCCTGGATGGCTCAATGCAGCTCCAGAATTCAGAATCCAGAATTCCTCCTCACGGCTGCTTAGTCCCGTCAGCAGCTACTGGAACGTCTGATGGAGGTCTGAAGGTTACGCACTGATAGATTTACAGACCGGTCTGACTCTGAGTGCTCCCAGAGTCTCAGAGATGGTGTTTGTGGTGAAAATCACACCGCCAATATTTCACTTTGCTCACTTTGCTTCTGGATTTTAAGCCACGGAGGTGGATTTCATACAGAAACTGACTGAATAAAATACGATTAATTCTACTAAGCAAACGTTTGAAGCTGAGGAAACAAATGTTTCTCTTCATTGTTTAATAATCTTTAAGAAGACAGGATTCAAGCCAGTGTGCCAAACATCATCACACTCCTATATTTACTCGTTTTATCTCATCAGGTTTCAGTTCATCGTGAAACCTTCAAAACCTGCAGCTGCAGCTGTGTCCTCTATCCCTCGTGTTTTGTGGCGTCAGCATCTCTCAGATCCTCTAATGATTAATTCTGTATCTGATGCAAAGTGCTGCAAACACATCGTGTGATGCAGAGCGTCTTCATTTATGTTCTGATTGAACATTAATCTGAAAATGGGCTTAAACCTGCAGATCCTGTCACGCAGCAGCTTTACAAAGTCATTTATGTAACAAAGAGCAGGAACAGAAAAGAAAAGCATCCAATCAGATTGGAGAGAAATCCTCCAGCCGGCGTTATTGGAATATTATTGGATTATTATTGGATTATTATTGGATTATTATTGGATTATCATGAGAGAGAGAAAAACAACAGAGGAGGATAAAGAGAGAAACGCAGTCAGGTCACACCCTGCAGAGAGGCAGATACTCAGTAAACCATTAGTATTGTAATTACTCACAGCACTGTCTCAGTTACTTACTGTCATGTGTTTACACACTAACATGCACACAGTAAGCTAACATATGAAACTTCCAGTCTGATCGCTGACTCTTATTTAACCCAATAAACAAACAGTCCACTGACTAAATCTTGATTTCTATCAAATCGTATCAATAAAGCTCAACGAGCACAGCAGTGACAGCAACAATAACCTCTGCTGCAAACACTGAAGCAGAAACATCTGAACATCAGAAACAGCCAGCTCCTCCCCCTGCCCCTGCAGGTGTGTTACTGATCAGGTGAAGTGGCTTTATTGTAATTTTGACCGTGTGCAGTGGTTCAGTACACAGTGAACTGAGACAGAGTTCCTCCAACACCCTGGTGCAGACAATCAGCATGGGACTGCATGAAGTGCAAGTGTGCAAAAACACAACAACGGTGCAACATTAGACACAAGCGTGCAATAGAAATGTGCAAAAGACTGAGCAGAATGTAACTGTGTCAGTCCAGTCACGGAGTGTTCAGGAGTCTGACGATTTGGGGGAAGAAGCTGTTCCTCGGTGAGGGGTGTGTGGCGTCCTCCATGATGCTGGTGGCTTTGCAGATGGAGCAGGTGTGATAGGTGTCTGTGATGGAGGGAAGAGAGGCTCCAATGATCTCAGCTGCGCTCACTATCCGTTGTAGAGCATTGTGATCCGATACGGTGCAGTTACCATTCAGACAGTGATGCAGCTGCTCAGGACGCTCTCGATAGTCGCTCTGCAGAAGGTGGTGAGAATGGCAGGAGGGAGATGGGCTTCCCTCAGCTTCCTCAGGAAGTAGAGACGCTGCTGGGGCTTCTTAGTTATGGAGCTGGTGTTGAGGGACCAGGAGAGGTTCTCTACCAGGTGGACATCAAGGAATCTGGTGCTCTTGATGACCTCCGCAGAGGATCCATCAATGTTCAGTGGACAGTGATCTCTCCGTGCTTTCCTGAAGTCAACAATCATCTCTTTTGTTTTGTCCACATTCAGAGACAGGTTGTTGACTCGACACCAGTCCGTCAGCTGTTGCGCCTCCTCTCTGTATGCTGACTCGTTCTTGCTGATGAGACCCACCACAGTCGCTCAGTGTGGTGGTGTTGGAGATGCTGTTGATCCAGATTGTCTGAGGCCTCTGCGTCAGGATCCAGGTGCAGAGAGAGGTGTTCAGGCCCAGCAGGCTCAGTTTAACAATCAGGTGCTGAGGAATGGTTGTGCTGAAGTCTATGAACAGCATTCATCAGGTGTCTTATTGACAGGTGTGTTACTGACATGTGGGCTTGAGCTGAGCTTCAGGGGTCACCAGTTTCTGCAGTTATGGTCTGAAACATAATCAGGTGACAGTAAAGGTGACCTTTGACCTGTTGAATATAAAACGGCACCACTTGAGGGTTTGATCCGGTTTGGATGAAGTCCAGGTGAGTGTGTGCAGAATCAGAGGCCGAACTGAGAGCTCTCGCTGTGTTATCAGCCATGCACATTCCTCCAGACCACGCCTCCTCCTTGTGCCAACAGCTCATTATCAGCTCAGTCAGCAGCAGTGGCTCCGCCCAGCGACATGGAAGTAATGGGTGTGGTAAAAAAACGGAAACAAACGACCACATGAGGAGATGTGCGTATTCATAAAAAGGTGAATACATGATGAGAAGCCTGCGGCACAGGACTGAACTTTGCCTTCATTTTATGATCATTATATGTACTCACATGCATTAACACAGAAACAGACACACCCACATGATCGCTAACATGCGTTTGTTTAAAAGGATTCATTCATGTGCAAAAACACATGACTGTCTGCATGAATAAAGCTTGGTCTGAAAGCAGAGCCATTATTAACCTTTAAATGTGTTTCGGTCCGAGCCACAGAACAAACGGACACATTTCTGAATGACGTCTGGTGAGTCGTCCTTTTTTCTGGCCTCATTAGGAGCCGCCGTACAAACACTCAGACGGGCCAGAGCTTTAAACTGTGACTGATCAGCAACAAAAGAACACCCCCATCACACCCCCACCATCATTACACCAGCAGCTCCGACTGTGAGACTGTGAGGTTTCAAACTGAGCTCAGGCCTCAATGATCAAACTGCATGACAACAAAACCTTCATTTAGCCTCTTCATCAGAGCTGCAGACCCACAGAGTCCTTTACATTTCCTGCAGGCTTTATTTTTTCACTAAAGCGTCAAACACAGTCCAGAGAAAATCAAGGTACAAAACTACTGACTTATACTTAATCAGATAAAACATTTAAACACATCAGTAAATGTAATTAGAGCAAGCAAGCAATTTATTTATATAGCAGTTTCAGATCAGCCCCCAGCTGAACACAAAGTGCTGAACACTTGACATGCCAAAAGTGATACATTGAACATGTTAAAGAATAAGAAAAATAATAATAATAATAATATTAATATATGTATTAAAATGGAAAATAAAATGATTATTAAAATGTCATTTAAAATAATAAAATTAGCACAAATAGCAAAAACAATAATAAAATAGCATAGAAAATGACGATGAGCATTACATTTAAAACAATAAAATCAGGGTCAGACTGTGTCATAAGCCAAGGAGTAAAAACAGAAGGGCTGCTAGCTGCAGCAGCACCGTTGTTACTGATTGATGGGAGATTAGTGTGGAAACAGCGGAAGTTAAAAATGGTGAAAATCTGACTGAAGTTTGGCTCCGTTCGGCTTTTTCTTCATTACAAACTTTGACTGAAGCGCACAAACAGCCGCACACACAGGCGAGTAAAATCAGACACATTTTGAATGAAGTCTGGTGCAGACGCTGGGTCCCCGCACAGAGGAGTTCAGGGCTCCTGCGCTCAGTATCGATCACTGATTAATAACAGAGTTATCAGCGTGTTATTGACTGGCACGCGCAGGAAACGTGACCGACTCTCCGACAGCGGGAAGTTTGACTGAGCACGACGGAGGAACTCTGATTAAATATCGGGATCGATCAGGTTATTGATCGACGGGAAACTCACCGGACACGTTGAGCTTTCCTCCCAGGAACCAGCCGATCCTCCCGCTGCTCAGGTCGCAATCCCGGACCCGGTGGAACGGTTCCACCCAGCGGAGCCTGTCGGCGGCGGCGGCCCCCCAGAACCGATCCGGGTCCGTGACGGAGAGGCGGTACAGGTCCCTGTGGGAGAGCCGGGACAGCTCGGTGCTCCAGGTCCCGGGGGCAGGAGCGTGAGGCTGGTAGGACAGACACCTGCCGGGTCCCGGAGCCCTGCGGCGGCTCAGCGCGGCCCAGAAGAGCCCGGACCCCCTGCTGCGCGCGGCCATGGCGATCCTGAGCGGTCAGCTGTGAGACCGGAACACCTCCGCTCCTCAGAGCCGGCCCCTCGGCCCTCCCACCCCTCAGGTGTGTCCAGGTGCAGCAGGTATGGAGGAACAGTAGTGCCGAGTTTCGGTGCTCCAGCATCCGTTATGAACATAATTATACCTGAAGTCTGAGTTTTGGATTGAAGAGTTAAAATGAAATTCTGAACTTATTTATGAAATGAACTTTTTTTTGTAAAAAAATTAAATAAAAAATGAATTCACTCATTATTACTTATTATTTTAGAGAGTTTGTCTCATATTTATTCAGAAACATGTAATAAAAATATGTTTGCATTTTTAATCCCATAATGATGTTTTTTATATTACATTTAAATTAAAGTCAGAACGTCAACTTTAATCTTTCTGTGAAGGTTCTCAGTCATCCAGGTCATCGTAGTCTAAGGAGCTTGCAAAGAAAAGCATCTGGACTTCTTTAAGTTACTTGAAGACGTTTCACCTCTCATCCGAGAAGCTTCTTCAGAGGTGAAACGTCTTCAAGTAACTTAAAGAAGTCCAGACGCTTTTCTTTGCAAGCTCCTTTGTCAACTTTAATCTGCTCGTGTTCACTTTTTATTGTCACATTTATTTATTAAACTACAAACAATTTCCTGTCTTGTCTTCTTATTGTTAACGGTTACATCACTTCCTTTGTGAACATACAGAAACCATTTAAATTTGGACTAAGGTGTCCCCGGCTGAGCGTCCTCATGAAGCCGCCTGCTCACATTAAAACCTGCAGATATTTAAAAGTGGTGGCACGCCTGTAAAGTCACGCCTATGCGAGCAGTTTGGGTGTTTTGCATTTCTAAAGGAGGCTCTGTGAGCCGAGTGTCCACAGATGTGGAAAAACCTGCGGCACAGAAACAAGCAGAGCGTGCAAAACACAACTTCCTTTCTGCGTGTTTTATTAAAATGTCAGAGCGAGGTCTGAAGATCGCACACAAGACCAAACGGGTCAAACAGGAAGGCCGTTTGTCATCGAGTGCGTGAGGTCATACTTCAGACTCAGTTTTAGCTAAAGGAAGGAGGTGATTTGTCTTTCAGCCGGCGATGAGCACAAGGACGCTGAAGAGAAGCTGCTGGATTTGTACAAAATGAAATGTCTGCAGTGGACAGATATCCATGGTTACAGCCTCGACCAATAAGGAGCACGGATGCTGTATCACAGGATGGCTGGTCAGCTGCGCAAACATCTACTGTAATCTGCACATTTCCACTTTTTTTATTCTCAGAATTTTCTTTATGTCTTTATGTTTATAAAGAGACGAGCTGAAACACGAGGCTTTCAAAGATTAGAGACAGGAAGTTACCGCCGAGTGTTTCCTGTGTGGATAACAACAGTAAAACATGACAAAAGACACGATTAATCTGACGTAAACAGCTGATTCCCGCTGTCAGCGACACTTCAGCTTTAACCCTGTGAGCGTCTGAGTGCCTGACCAGCTCGCCGACGTCCACGTTAAATCTGCGGCTCCTCGCATGCCTGTCAGCCAATAAGCTGTCACCATTATTAGCCCGCATCGAAACTGGGATTAACAGCTGCAGCTCTGACACGCTGACATGGAAAACATGGCGGTCTTTAACAGGTAAACAGAGACAACAGTAGCAATCAGCGGTCGCCACGGTGATTAAACTGTTCAAACACAAAGGGTCAGGATTATCTGCTGATTGGATCCTTTAATCTCACCTCTGTTCAGCTGGAAAACAGCTGGATTACATGAGCAGCTATCACAGAGGGGCACGGCCGACACAACAGAGGTCAAAGGTCACAAAGCAGGACAACTGGTCAGACAGGAAAACTGCAGGCGCTCTATTCTGAAAGTGCAGAGGAACTCTGTGTGCATGTGGGCTGGAATCAGACTGTATATAAAGAACAGTCATTCACCTGTCAAAGAGGCCACGCCCCAAATAATGCAAACGTCATTCTTCATTTATATTGAAATTTGGCATGGCGATCATTTCTGATCTGAGTTTGTTTTCAAAATAAACAGACGCCACATGACACATCAGTAATAACTAAGTTATTACCAAACAGATACGAGTTTAACGACCACGCGGCGCCACGCCTCACAGCTCCGGTGCAGAGTGCGACTGTGGCCGCTGAGTTCTTGCAGTTCTTAAACACTGTAAACACAAACGGCGAGTTCTCCCACTTGCCGTTTGTGTTTACGGTTTCATCGTTTTGCTTTAAAGATTCGACACCAGCTGGGCAGCAATCATGGATCCGTCCGGGACCACCTCCTGTTCGATGCTGCTGATTGGCGGGGGGGCGTTTCCCTGCGCTCCTGTCTGCTTCACGTGAGCTTTGGTCTGCAGGTGAGCCTTGAGAAAGGTGAACAGGCGGAAGTGTTTACCGCAGTCGCGGCAGCTGTACGGCATCTCGCCGCTGTGGATGCTGCGGTGCCTCATGAAGCTTGTGGCGAGGTTGAAGGTCTTGGGGCACAGCGAGCAGCGGTACGGTTTCTCCCCAGTGTGTGTGTAGCGGTGGTCGCGCAGCAGCTCCTTCAGACGGTAGCTTTTCCCACAGATGTCGCAGTGGAAAGGTTTCTCCCCGGTGTGGCTCCGCTGGTGTGCGCGGTACTGCGATGGGTTCGGGAACTTCTTGCCGCAGACCTCGCAGCTAACGATTGCGTCGACAGCGGGCAGCTCGTCGGCGGGCAGCTCGTGCGAATGTTTGCTGATGACGTGGTTTTTCAGGCAGCGGAAGCTCTTGCCGCAGATAGAGCAGAGCTGCCGCTCGCCAGTGTGCGTCGCCTGGTGGCTGCGCAGGTTGGCGGCCTGCGTGAAGCCCTTCCCGCAGGTGGGGCAGCGGAACGGCCGCACTTCCTGGTGCACCAGCTTGTGGCGTGTCAGGTGGCAGGCGTGGTAGAAGCCCTTCCCGCAGACGTCACAGATGAACGACTTGTCGAAGTGCGTGATGCGGTGCGTCTTCAGCACGCTCACGCAGGCGTAGCCCTTTCCGCAGATGTCGCAGTGGCAGCTCTTCTCGCCGGTGTGCCGCGCCTTCACGTGCAGGTCGCGATGCGCCTTGTGGTTAAACCTCTTCGGGCAGAAGTCGCAGATGTACGGCAGCAGCCCGTGATTTTTCAGCTCGTGTTCACGCAGTTTCAGGACACCAGTGAACCGCAGGCCACACACCGAGCACGCCGGGTGAGCCTTCTTCTCGTGGTCGGCGAGCCGCTCGCTGTTTGGAAACAACATGGCGCAGTGCGAGCACTGTAGGTGAGTCTCTGTTGCCTCACCAGACACCACGATTCGAGCTCTCTTCCTCCGGCCGCGAGGCCTCTTCCTGACCCCACCCACTGCCGCTGAGGCACTGCTGGATGGAGGCGACGTCGAGCGAGCGTACTCGTGGTCATCGGCCTGAGGCGCAGACGAGGAGGGGGAGAGCTCTGTCCCCTGACCTGTTACATCACACGTGCTTTCATTTCCACCTGCAACAGAGCAACAGGAAGTCTGTGAGCGGGACGTTACTCGTAGACGGGACAGTCGGACAGCGCTCGCACATCTTAAAAAACTATCAAGTAACCTGAGAAAATATGATGTCACGGCCAATCATGATGCTTTGATTTCACGCTACAGACAACACCTTCACCAAACAGGTGCCTGTCTGGGGGTGTGGCCTACTGCATAACACCCACACTGTGGATAAGAACCTCACCTTTTTCAGGTTTAATCAGTGACAAATCAAAGGAGCAACTTCTCACCGTTAGCGTGACTCTCCAGTGACACCAGCACACACTGTGAGTCTGCGGCGGCGTTCTGAAAGACAGAGGACAGGTGTCAGTGCTCGCTTAGCGCTCATTCTCTGGCAGTTTGCTGGACTCACTCACTGACCTCATAAACCAAGATGTAGGTCTGCTTTGAGGGGGGGAAGGGAGCGCCACCGCCGCCTTCGCCTGCAAAACAGGAAACAGCAAGTACACAACCTGAGGCGTTTAGGTGGTGATGTAATCATTCTTTCAGGGACCCCGTCCCAGCTGTTCAATCTGCAGCCAATCAGAGGTCAGAGTACTGACCTCCGGCTGTCTCTGAAACATCCTCACTCCCATCATGCATCTGGCCCACGTTCTCGCCGCTCTTCATAACGCTCAGATTGACCAGCTTCAGGATTTTCTCCACAGCTTCAAAACAGAGATGCTCGACGAGAGCGCCGAGTTTCTCCTGTGAGGAAAACACACACACCGTTTCATGACTCATGTTTTCTGATGATAGGTGATGGATCTTCATTGGGAATGTTCTTGTTTTTAGGTTTTCTTCACTGTCACTCCGACTCCGACAAAACTGTCTGCACATGATCACACATATGAGGGGAAAAAGATTCATATTTGGTTCAGGATATTTCCCAAAAACAATGCTGAACGCTAACCTATACTTGGAATCTGTGAGGTAAAAGCAGAAAAACAGAAAAAGCAGAAAAACAGCTCCTGCTGCAGGTGAATGTCTTTACCTGTGTGTTAAGCGAAACGTTTCTCTTTCCAACTTAAAACATGCCGAAATGTAGGCGGCTTAGATTTCAGTCACAGGTAAGAAGGAGGAGCCAATTTTCAGGCTCTAGGTCTAAGTAGTCTCGGTTGTAATGATTTGTGTCACTGCGTTAATAAATTATTGACGAACTAAAATTGGAGGATTTTTAAATGGAGCTCGGGATGATGACATCGGGACTTTGGGAGTGAGTAAACCACTTAAACACCTCGCGCTTCTTCTTCGTCTTCTCTCGCACGCACACCGTGAGCACGTGAAACCGGAAGAGCTGGAGTTGAGCTAGCTGTTAGCGAGAGTTAGCTGGGCTGGCTTACCTCGGCTTCGAGGCTTTGTCTGTTTAAAGAAGCTCCCTCCACAGCGCTGAAAATCTCCGTCACCACCGCCCTGGCCAGGCTGTTGACGACGAGCGCCACTTCATTCCTGAAAGTGCTTAAATCAGCCATTTTTTTAGGAGTTCCCGCTCTCAGTGGCCAGTTAGCTTAGCAACCAAACCGCTAATGTGGATAGAGGAAGTGACGTAATTGGCTTATCCCGCAGGCACTGGTCGGGAAAGGGAAGCGGAAAGTGAATAAAAGTACATTTATTGATTTTCTGCTGAATCTACTGAAGGCGTCGCGCATTGGATAATAAACATTACGAAAAATCCTTAAATTACATGATTTTAAAATAGAGTTTGGCTTACTTCAGTGTGGAATATGAACGTAAATGTGTCTTTAATGGAATAGAATAGAGATATCCTTTATTGTCCCTCACCGGGACAGGCGGAGCATGCAGATTCACACAAAAGTAAAGAATATGAAATTTAAAAAAACAACAATTAAGAGACTGTAGAGGCAGATTTCCAACATTAAAAAAGCAGGACTCACAGAAATGTGCAGCTGAGTAGGATTATTGGTGCACAAAATGCTGTATATTTGTGCTTAAAAACCAACAACAACAGACTATTTAGCAAAAATGGAAAAACTGCAAATACCAGCAGGATGTAAATACTTTATTGAGTTTGTTGGGAGCTGTGACGGAAGTCCAACAGCTGCTGGGAGGAGGGACCTGCGACACTCCTTTGTGGCTGATGATACACGTGTAATTTAATTCAGATAACACAGAAAAAACAGTATTAAATGGTATAAAAACATTTTTATTTTCAAAGGTGCCTGTTTTTCTTCTAATACCGGCAGCAACGCCTAAACTGGAATTAAATCATATTTTCAATTCATCCTTCAGTTTCATTACATTTGTTTTATAACAGAAAGATGAAGATGAGTGAATCTCTTGGCCTTTTATGAATTTTATTTGTATTTTTTCCACCTATCTGGTTAATTTGGGGTACCGCTAAGTATGTATGGAAGTCAGTGGGTGGCAAAAGTGATAGAAACAATTCACAAACAATTTGAATTAAACATTTATGGTACTCAAAGTTTCCTGTAAAAACTGAATATAGAATTTGGAAACTTTATAGAATGATGCTCTTTTAAAACTAGTAGTAAATATGTACCTCTTTTTTTTCAGCTGATGTGTAAAATTAAGTTTTAATCAGTGTTTGTGTTAATAAATCACAACAAAGCTCAGCTGATTCCAAAAATACTTCTTTATTTTCCACCCTGCTGAATCTCCACCTGTATAAGCATATACTAATAATAATATTAATAATAATAATAATGATAATGATAAAATGTTTGAAATCTTACATTTAAATTACATTCACAGAGTTTCAGTCAAGCAGGTCCAACTATAAAACACAAAAACCAACAGGAAGAAAACATTAGATATTCTCAGACTCCCAAAAACCATGGATATAAAACATAAACACACACACACACACACACACACACGTCTTTCACAGTCTTTTAGAAAAGACTCCAACCCCTCGAGGCTGATCTGAACGTCACAGCATCGGTGTTCATCTTAACGATGAACATTAGTTTCCCAGGAGCACGGCGAGCACAGCCAATCACTATTTTGTTGTTTCAGAACATAAGTTAGCATACTTAATGATTAGCATGCTTAATGCTAGTGCTCTGTTAGTATCAGGCTATTTTAGCACACTAACAACACTTTGTCGCACAGTGCAGAAATTACCACCGTAGCATGCCACTAGCATGGTAAATCTGAAATGTTCAAATACTAATACAAAAAGTTAATAGTAGTGATTAAAGCTTTTTTGAAGTGCTAAAGTTTGCTAGCTGATCCTTATAGTATAACACAGGGTTTACATATATTAGCATGTTAGCTAAAAATAGCTTTAAGTAATAGCATTTTCTATCAAAATATGTTATCATGACTCATATTTTCCCATTATTTGTTTCACTGTTAACACTTGTTGACAACTGAAACTTTTAAAATCATTGTTTTTCATCTAAAATCAGAACTTTTTTTGTCGCTAACACTGAGAAAATAAAGTCAGCTACAAAATGCTTACATGATCAATCCTGCTGATATTTTAACAGGTAGTAGCACACCAAAACAATATTTATATTAGCTCTTAGCTTTGTTAGCAAACCAGCAGCTAGCGTTTGAACAAACTAACTTTGCATAGTAACAAGTAAAGTTTTGGCTGAGTTTGTTTCAATTGGCTGTGCTTCCTGAAAGAGCCAATCCCATCACAGCGCTGCCTGAACAGAACACCTTCCTCCTCTTTGGTCAGATCATCTTCAGCTATGTTCGTCTGATTCGCTGCAGCTTTGTTGCTGTGGTGAAGAGGCGGTTCTTATCGAGGCTCCGCCCTCCTCCTGCTGCTGCTGTTTAGATGAGCTGGACAGGTCAATGGCCACCTCCTCCTCCACCTCGTCCTCTTCCTCCTCCATCAGCTTGTCCTCCTCCGGCTCCTGGGCCTTGCCGGAACCTCGTCGTTCCGAGGCATCGCAGAATGAATCGGAGCGCGCCGAGTCGGACGCCGGAGGGCTGGAACACTTTTTGGACATTTCCAAAGACTTCTTGTGCATCCCTGTGGGGGCGGAGTCACATTCAGGTTCAGTCCAGTGCGAACTGCAGTGTTGTTTACATGTTTGTTCACTGCTATGGTAACATGAAAACATTCAGGCCCGTGTTACACGCAGCACTTCATTGTTTACTCTAAAGGCTTATTGATCACTGATCGGTGTGTATTGATGCTGCTGTGGTGCACGTGTGGCACTGACGTGCATGCGGCTCACCGAGCAGCCAGGGGGCGCACGATCCCATCATGCCGTTCTTGGCAGAGTTGAGGATGGACTCGGGCAGCGGGATGGAGTGTCGCACCATGGCGCCGTACAGACCGTACTCCGCCATGACGCTGCTGCGACCCCAGCACTTCTCACGCTTACGCCACTTGGCCCGCCGGTTCTGAAACCACACCTGGAAATAAAACAGGAAGTACAGAGGTCAGAGGTCATGCCCAACACTTGAGCAGGTAAACAAATAAATAATGTGTTACACAGAGAAATAAAAACAACACGATTTCACATGTTCACAGCATTTCTCAATAAAATCAACAAAACAGAACAAAGTTCAGATCAGATTAAAGCCCAAATATTAAAAACCAGACAGCCTCTTCAAATAAATTCATTAAATCAATAATAAAAACAATTTGAAAAAAATACTTTTTTTTTCAAATTGAGAAAACTTGTTTTTACGCTGATGTTTCCCCCTCACAGGAAATCTCTCTCTGATTTGAATGATTCAGGGTTTTCGCATTACAGATGTTCCTCGGATCAGTTCTCCACTCTGCTGATTGGTCAGATTGGTGTCACCTGATCGGGACCCTCACCTGTATCCTGTCCTCGGGCAGCTCCGTCTTCATGGCCAGCATCTCCCGGGCGTACACGTCGGGGTAATGAGCCTCCTGGAAGGCCTTCTCCAGCTCCTCCAGCTGGTGGGAGGTGAACACCGTCCTGAACACAGCAGCAGACTCGATCATGTTTCATTCTTCATCACGTTTGATCTTCTTCATTACTGACATCACTGATTATTTTATTTACACTTCTAAGAATTGTTCATGACTGAAAATTAAACAAAAAAAAATCAGGTTAAAATATGAAATCTTTTTATTTTATTATCATCATCTGTCTTCTCTCCTTAATTACTGGAACCTGATTATTGATTATTATTTATTGAATTCAGTAAAGCAGCCACGGTTTGGTTTGTTCCTCCATTTTTTTTTCTGTGATTTGATTGAAAATGTTTTCTGCTTTTCACTAATGGAACAATCACGATTCATCATCAACATTATAATATTTATGACACAAAGCTTTCAATAATAAAATAATAATAAATGTTTTTTAATAATCACGATGAATCAAAGTTCTTTTTTCTGCTAGAAACGAATTAATTCGTAGTTTTAACTTAATTAAATTATATTTAAGCCTTGCGCAAAGCTGAAATGTGTCTTTAAAAATCATTTTTTCGTTTCTTCTTTTTTATTTCTTCACGTTGCTGAATTCAGAATAAAAATCTGAATGTGTGTTTGGGTTTTTTCAGCGTTTTTTCTCTTATTTGTATTTTTCTCCGAATTCAACGGAAACACCGAACAAACATGCAAAGAACACAGAATTAGAATTTTAAAAAGGCCAAATGTTTAAAAATGACCCTGAATTATTTCTTCGTTTTAAAAACATTCGGTTCGTTGAGTTCTGCAGTTTTCCTCACCGGTGTCTCCTCTTCTTCCTCTTCTGAGAGTTTCCGGAGGTTTTGGAGTCGTTTCGGTCCGACAGACACTCTTCATCTGCGACAGCAAAGAGAAAAAAAATCAAATCTGAACGAAAAATCATCAGAAACAAAATAAAGTTGAGATAAAGGAGCCAATAAACTCGGGTCGGTGATGACGCTGAAGGCCTCGTGACTAAATCCAGATTTAAAAAAGCAAAAAATATTTTAGGGACGCGTCAGCACAGAACCCGAGCCGGAGCGAAGGGCTCCCATCAGGGACCCTTCTTCCAGCCTGTCTTCGTACCGGAATAGGCCTCCCGCTGGGCCTCCAGGTTATGCAGGTAGTGGCTGTCGGGCCGGGCCTGCAGCAGCGGCAGGTGTCCAGGCAGGAAGCACGGCGCCCCGGCGGGCTGCTGCGCCGCCAGGCTGCACAGGAAGCCGAGGCCAAGGGGCAGCGACCCCCCCGGGAAGGAGAACCCGCCGAGGCCGGGACCGGCCCCGTGCTGCTCCGTCCCGGGCCCCGAGGCGAAAGGAGCCCCGCCGGGCTGCTGCCGGGCCTGCAGGTCTGTCTCCAGGCCCAGCAGGTCGGTGATGGCGAAGCCTTTGGAGCGGAGCCCGGGGGCGTGCAGCCGGCTCTTGTCGATGCCGAAACCCGGGGACAGCAGCTTCACCCGCGGCTTCTCCTCGCTGAGCTCCTCCCGCCCGGTCATCATGGAGCAGAGGAGGTGATGATGCAGAGGAGGTGATGAAGGTGGAGAACAGAGCGGCAACGGGCGGCGGGCAGCTTTATCAGGCCCGGGATCCCAGCGGCGGCCAATCAGGGCACAGAGCAGGAGGGGGTGGGGGGGCTCAATCCCAGAGGATTAATTGCCACCAATTTCCCTCCAATCCGATCAGGATTTCAGAGGAAGAAGAGGAGGAGGAAGACTGTTTATCTTTGATGCGGCCAAACATCACAGAGCATCCACCAATCAGCTGCTGCCATCAGCACCATCAGATTTCACAAACCTAATCTAGGCTCCATCAGGGCCGCTCAAACTGTGGGGCGCGGCCGCCGGGGGCCGTGCTGACAGCAGGATGGGTCTAAGGGAGCCGCAGACTGACACTGCGAAGGCTGCGGTCACGTGACCCTCGTGCACTTCTGTTTGTGCTCTTTTCATGACCCTAAAAATGACCTCTGACCTCTCTTCACAGGTGTTTGGTGCTTTGGATTTGCTGTAATCTGACTTCAGTTGCTGTTAAATGTACAAAATAAAGAAAACTGGATTTTAAAAGTGCTGAAAAGTCCGTTTTAATGATCGATGAATTTTATTTACAGACAGAAAAATCTAAACTCAGCAAAATAAACTATTAAATCAAGGAAGTGAGTAAAGAATCAAATGCACAGTTCCTACTTTATCCGTTGGATTTATTTCCTGGATTTGGTGCCATTTTATTTCTTTTTTTAAACATTGATTTATTTATTTTCCTTTCTGAGGTTTTGAACCTCCACACACAGCATGTTCATTTTTTATATTTCATTTATTGTCATTATTTTGACAATAATGCTAGAAGAATTAAATAAAAGTGAAAATAAAGATAATAAAGATGATGATCTGCGGGTGGAGCGGGTGGAGCTGATGAGGATAAACAGAGAAAATCAGCTGTTTGTCTCTTTGGGCAGAAAACGAAGCTCCTGCTGATGAAAGTCAGGCTGGAAATTAGGGCCAAGTTGGCGGTTAATCCCTCAGGATTGACTGCAGGCTTGCAGACAGTGTGTGTGTGTGTGTGTGTGTGTGTGTGTGTGTGTGTGTGTGTGTGTGTGGTGCGTGTGTGTGTGTGTAAGAAGGTAAAAATGGTCAACTGGTTTTAAAAGCAATTAGAGGATCTGCTTATCAGAGATAATTAAAGCAAATTTGGGCTGTTTTTAAATCCCTCTCTGTTCTCCTTCTTCTTCTCTTTTTTATTGTGGGCGTCACAGTTTGAGCAGATTACAGATTAAATCATCCGACGCGTTCATGCGCTCGTTAATGTGCTCGTGTTAAATTAGAGCAAAGAAGCTCATCGCTCTCACTTCATCGGGACGCCCGAGTCTCCAACATTCGAGCGCCAAACAAAGTCAGGGGTCGTGTCCAAATTCATGGGCTGCATCCTCCTGAGGACCTGGCCTTCGCGGTCTACGTGGGCCGGGTCCTCAGGAGTCGGGAAGGCCGGAAGTAAACGGCTGTGAAATTGGACGGTCTCGCCTTCAGATTAGCGTCGCCGCTGTCTCGGTGGAGTTTAATAAACTCGCCGTCTGCTCCTTGCTGTCTAAAATATAACAGGACACTGGAGTAAACTCTCGACCGTCTCACACTTCTGTTTAATAAGTTTTCTGTTTGACGTTTATTCAGCTGTGTGAAAACCAAGGAGGAACCCACCCGGAGGATTAATAAAGTTTTATTTTATCTAATCTAATAACTTTAATCTCAGCCAAACCGATTTACTCACGAACAAACTAAAACACTGAAAAAAGCCCAACAATAACATTTTTAGGTTGTCTAAGTGACTTATATATTACGTTTAACCCGAGCAGCGAAACGTCCGCGGTGATCTGAAAATGATGTGCCGGGAGTTGTGCCGTTCTCGGCGCTTCAGTGACCCTCGAGCTCCCGGCTAGCTGTCGAGCTGGTGGGTAGCAGACGTCTCCGAAAACGTCGAAGCACTTTTGCAAATATGCGATATCTTGATAAACCGAGCAGATATTTGATGTTTACACAGCTACTTTCTCGCCTGAAAATATGTTAAAAGTTTATTTTGTGACCCAGAAAGATAGTATGAGTAATATTAAAATTAAGCAGCGGCCGCCATTGTTGGAAACTGGAGTTTGGCTGGGCCGGCTATGAATTACTGAGGCACGCTGGAGAGATTATATCTCTCGGCTGGCCTGGGAACGCCTTGGTGTTCCCCCGGATAAGCTGGAGGAGGTGGCTGGGGAGAGGGAGGTCTGGGCCTTTCTGCTTAGGCTGCTGCCCGCGACCCGGCCCCGGATAAGTGGAAGAAAATGGATGGATGGATGGACGTCAGTGTGACGCAGCCGTTATCGCCCAGAAATCATTTTTAAAAAATCAAATAAGAAACTAGAGAAACACGAGAGACGTACTGAAACAGAGCTGCACAGGTGAACCTTCACGTGCACGCCAAGAAGAGGAGGAGGAAGCTGATTGGATGAGCGGTGGAATTACTCAACCTCAGCTGAAAGTCTGTAGAGTCTGTACCTGATTACTGACGAGAGCTGAAACATCTGTGCACATCTGTGTCCAGGAGGAAAGGGGGAGACCCTGAACGCACCGCGGCGGCCTGCAGAGCCCACGAAACGTTCACAGACATCAGAGAGTTTATCTGCCTGCACTGTATTTGAGCTTACATGTGTTTGATTTTTACAAAACTTCACCAAATTACAATTTATGGGTTTTTGTGTTTCTTATTTTATTCGTTCAGTTATCTTTAATAATTTTTTTTTATCCTTTAGTGTTTTGCTTTTTATTGGGTTGTTTTACCTTCAGTGTAATTATTTTTTCTGTCTTAGTGTTCAAATCTGGTTTTAACCTTTCACCTTTGTTGCTGTTTTAATGTTTATGTTTTGTTCATCATTTTATTTTGAGGTTTAATGGTTTTATTTGTGGAAACATCACGTTTGAAATCTGAGACGGCTGAGCAAAAACACGATGTTCTTCTTCTCTGCCGCTTTAATCGGCCGCTCACATTTGCAGGAAGATGAAAACAGAGCTCGGAGGGTTCATCAGGAGACGCCCATCTCGCCCCGCCGCTCACAAACAAGATGATAACAACAACGAGCAGAGGCGACACGGCTCGTTATCTTCTTTAATCTGAGGGCGCTCTTTGTTATCTCACTGATACTGCAAAAACAACTGAGCATTCATGCGCCGGCCCTCGGCGTGCTGCAGCGGCGCCCGCTCTGACTCAGTGGATCTCTGTGGATCAGTGTGTCCTGAACCAGCTCAGACACAGACTGTATATAAAAGACGGACAGCGCTTCTGTGAAACGTGAACTTAAATCTGAGATTGTCCTGACAGACGCGCAGCGCTGCAAATGTTTCTTATCAGAGCTTTTCAATATCGATGACGTGCAGCAGACCTGAATGTTTACGGAGGAAACAAAGGGGGAGGAGCTTCAGGAAGCGCAGCAGAGTGGCTCGCGCTGGGATATCCGTGCAGCAGGTGGTTTCTCCGTCTTCACCACGTTAAACCAAATTTTCATGGCTTCTGCTCGTGATGGCAGGGGGCGGGTTCGTTGATTATTTTGGCGCCAAGCCCCTCTGGGTGAAAGGAGGAGGCGGGTTTCCCCTGAGAGCGTGGACACGCCCACATAAAGGAGCAGCAGGAG